AAGAACCAGAAGAGTTAGGTTTCTTTTTTCTTAACATTTATTTATTGTGTGTGTGTGTGTGTGGCCAGCTCAGCCCACCAGGGGGCGTGGCTGGCTGGCATGTGGTGCTGGAGGATCGAACCGCGGTCCCTGTGCTTTGCCAAGCTTGTTCCAAGTAGGTGCTTTAGACCACTGAGCCATCTCTCCAGCCCCAGAGTTAGGTTTCTTAAACAAAGAAATAAGGAAATGGAAATGCCATCCTGATTTGATTATTGTACACTGTATACATATATTGAATTATCCCCTTGTACTCTGTATTTATGCATTATTATTCTTACATATCTATGAATTGATTTTTTTTCTTTTTTGAGACAAGGTCTTGTTATATAGTTCAGGCTGGCCTTGAACTATGTAGTCCAGGCTGGCCTTGAACTTGCTGTGACCATCCTGCCTCAGCCTCCTGCATGCTGGATTTTAGGCATGCACCACCATGCCTGACTGAAATGATTTAAACATAATTAAAAGGGCTAGAGGTGAGTGTGGAGGTAGAGTGCTTGCCTAGCATGCATGAGGTCCTGCACTGTGAAAGTAAAAAATATAAAGAAAGAAATATTTTGGAATTTAGTCTTTCAAAGGAGAAAAAAACTAAGGCTAGCAAGCTAACAGTGCTGAAGTGGTATGATGGAATTTTCTGCTCTTTCAGGGCTGCCTGCACATGGACCCTGGCAAGAGACTGACGTGCGAACAGCTGTTGCAGCACCCATATTTTGACAGCATCAGAGAAGTGAGAGGGCCAACAAAAGAACACGACAAGCTAACAAGGAAGGGCCTGAGACAGAGCCAAAAGCACCTGCCCGGGGTAAAGACCAAGACGGTACCCTGCTTGACAGAAACAGCCAAGGTTTTGGTTTCAAATGATTTCATGCCCACCCACCACCCAGCGCAGAGCTGGAATCTAGCCTGGAGGCGGCAGTTTCAGCCTGCTTCTAGTACCAGTCAGGTCCCTGATCTCCCTCTAGAGCCCAGAGATGTCGGAGGCCCCTTCCTCCTGAGCCCCATCCCCTGGAATCCTGCTGTTTCCTGCTGCCGCACTCACGGGGGCCAGGGTTTCCGGTGCACCCTACCCGAGCTCAGGTCTCAGGCAGGTACCTCGGGGGTGGGTCCAGCTGCACGTGCTTCTTGCATTTAGGAAGCGAAGCCAGACCCGCTCCGGCAGCAGCTTGTCATCATGTTCACCTTCAGTGTTAACATTCTAGGTTCATCTAAACAGGAACTCAGTATTAACATTCTGGGTTCATCTAAACAGGAACTCTTCGCCTTCCTGACCCTTGGACTGTCAGGGAAAATAAACCCAGCGCAGCAGCGCTGGCAGCACTTTTAGCAGGATGCGCTGTGAGCCAGGGGACAGCAGCGACTCTGCACCAGGACTTACTGACACTGTCTTGTCAGAGGCCAAAGCATACATCTAGAATGGACTCCAGTACTGCAGGAACCATGCGTAGGCTACTCCTGGCCACTGAGTCCACCTGAATTTACCACTCCTGAGCACTGAATCATCTTGCTTCAGTCTTTGTATTTGTAGCCTCTACCGCCCTGAACAAGGAAGGTGTCAGTGATGTGTGTGAAGTTTGGAAAAGGGAGGGGAAGGTTCATTAGAAACAGATGCCGTACAAATTGCAGGGCCCTGAGGAGGAGCATAGTTACAAAATTAGGAGTGTTTTTACCTTATCCTGTCGTAAATGACCTAGATAGCAAAACAGGCAGAAACAGACTCCCCGCAACCAGTTACCCCTACCTCACTGTTACTTTGTGTCCCAGAGCAAAGAAAGGGTGGAAATAGCTCTGCTTAAAAAAGACTAGGGGAGGGCTGGTAAGATAGCTCAGCCGACTACAGTGCCTACTTAGGCAAGCTTACGCAAACCCAGGGACCGCGATTTGATCTCTGGCACCACATGCTGCGCCAGCTTGACCCCAGGGTGGGCTGAGCAGGTAACAACAACAACAAAAAGACTAAGGGAACATCACTTTCTGGACTACTGCTTTTTAATCATGAAGGATTCAACTGTTTGATTTACAAGTACTAAAACTTACCCTCTTTTCAGATACCTAACGCCATATAGTACAATACAAACAGTACAGTTGTGTGCGCCTTACCCTGTCATGTGACGTAGACAGTAAATATAAGTGTTTTCTGTACGCTCAAAGCAAATAGTCCCTCCCCAGTCCCAGTCCTGGGAATTGGACCCACTGAGCCACACTCCCAACCTAAACAGTTTCGCCCTTTAAACTAGGGAAGAGATGAGCAAGTCACTGAGTCCTGTGGGCATCTGGATTCTCTGCTGCAAGGCAGGGCAATGGCCTACGTGACCCGTAAGACCCAGCAAGCTCCCAACTCCTGTCAGGCTATGCCTTTTCCCAACAATGTGAACACTTTTCTACTCTTTCTCATTTTCTCTAAATTCTCTTTAATGTATATGTTTTTGCTTTTAATATAAAATAAACTTTTACAAGAAAAATTAGAGACCAGGGCCAGGGAGATAGCTCAGTAGAATAAATGCTTGAGTTCAGTCCCTGGTACTGCCAAAAAAAAAAAGAAAGAAAAATGAGAGACCAAATTAAAATCTTTTTTCTTTCGGACTTTGGGTTTTGTGGGGGAAAAAAATTGGTGTGCTGACAAGAGTGACCTCATTGCCTCTTTTTTTTTTTTTTTTTTTTTTTTGAGGAATCAGAAAAGTTTTTCTAATGCTATTTCCTGATTACAAAAAACATACTGGGAATGAGTTTTTTTTTGTGGAACCAGAGATTGAACTCAGGCCCTTGAGCTTACCATGGAAGCACTTATTCCACTGAGCCATCTCCCTGGCCCCTTCATTGCATCTTTTGTGATGTACTCTGAATAATGAAAAAGGCGCATGGCAGGGTTTCGAACCTCATTCTGTGTTTTCTATTTTCAGTTGCAGTACCTACCTCAGCTAACTAGCAGCAGCATCTTTCCAGCTCTGGATAACAAGAAGTACTACTGCAATACCAAGAAATTTAACTACCATTTCCCAAACATTTAAGGAGTGAGGAGATCAATGACAGAGGAAGAAGTGATCAGTAACTTGAAGACAATGAAACCGACCCACTTGACTGAAAAGAATTACTGGGTTGAAAACACAAGTACCCAGGAGCCACCTGCAAAGATGCAAAGGAAACTCCAGATCCTGCCTTCCATGCTTGGTGCAGGTGTCCAGAACAGAAAGGAAAGACCTGTCTGGAATCGCACTTGTAATTTTGTTTATCGAAGCAGCTGAGCTATGGGTAGAATATGGACTGCATCTACTGCCCATATCTCGGGCAAAGTTAGATAATGTTAACAAGATTTATGCCTGAGCTGTACCCTATGCCACCTGTGAAAAATGGATCATACAACCTAGATGTGTCTCCTTGGACCTCTGTGGCCCTCAGTCCTGTCTACTACCTTCCAGGTTATTTCAATATCATCTTGAAGGACAGATTGTAAGCATCAAAATTCTTAAAATTCCACTTCTGCCTTATTCTATCTCTTGATTTTTTAATTTCATTTTTTAATATCTCAATTGTTCACCATATCTAAAATCATACCATCATAAAGACTTTATAATATGCTTCATAGTTGATGTTTATGCATTTCTTATACACATTTTTGTTTTTACTGTAGTAAAGGATATGTCTTAGTCATTTTTGCATGCAAGACATATTTACTGTAATCCGTCTACCCTCGTTCACCCAGTCCCTTTTGCAAAAGATGGCATGAAGCTTGGCAGCAGACCAGAGTATTCAAGGGGTAGAACGAGACCTACAGGCTTCGCAGGAGCTGAATCTGTCAGCTTGAATATAATTAGGCCTTCGCTCTCCCCAGCTCAGCCTCAGACACACACACAGATCTACAGGCAGAACGGCATGTGGCAATCCAGGCTTTAGAGGAGCTGGCTGGAAACTTTCACTTGAGTCATGAAAGATGTTAGGTTACCAGCTGACATTTTCCCTGACACACCTTTCCCTTCTACAGTGTCTCCAGGTATATGCACGTGTGTATTTGCTGATACCCATGTGGATATATGCTATCTTAATGACTAATACAACTAAGACGACCAAATGACATGTGTTGAGGATTCCTAGCTTGGTACAGTGAGATCTGAAATAGTTCTGCCTTGGTCAACTGCTCCTAAACAAAGCCTTTTTATACTTGTCCTTTCTACCCTGGGCCATCCGAAGCCCTGCCTTTGGCACAGCTCAGCACCTTTTGGGTTGACGTGCTGTTCTTGGCCTAGCAGCTCTCAGCATGGTTCTCAGAGTTGAGCTTCATGGTCTCTTCAACACATTTCTTCTGTGTTCTCACTGTCTTCCCGTGTTAATTTTCTTCATACCAGCACTTGACCCCACTCACTTACTGCTAACTTATCCACTGAATTCCATCACTGGCCCAGTACTTTTGGCACATCCAGCCATATTCTAAGCCTTCCTAACAGAGGTAGCATAGAGCTGATAGTGGGTACAGTAACAGTCCCATACCATCTAGTTCCTGTTACAGAGCCTGGATTCAAGTGACATGGGAGGATATCCAACTTCTACATTGTCTTCCTTGTTCGTCTTAGCCCAGTACAATGTATTTGATGGAGGCAGATAACTGCCTGACTACCCAATAGTTTTATAGAAAACCATCCACAACAGAAAAGCAGCGCTAGACTAAATCATAAAGAATCAGTTGTCTCACCACACAATAAGACCAATGTGAAAAAGGCTCATTTTTCTCTAAAGAATTCTACTAAATTTATGCTTGTATTCAATTTAACCATGTTGCTTTTTTTCTTCAGCATGGAATCACCACTTCATCACATGAGACTACATCTTTGTCTTTACTTATATGCTATTTTCTGATTTTTAAATGACAATGGTAATGCTGTTAGTAAATAATATTTATGCTATGTATTAATTACATAGGGTAGTTTGTTTCACTTCCCTCATAAAATATGGGGACTATCTCCTTACAGGCTAAATTCTAAATGTCACTAAAATTCATTTTTTCTGCCTGAAAACTGTATCACAGTAAATGTTTAAAATTCATTTCCAATAAACTTTATATTCAATTGTTTAATGTTATAACCAAATATATAGAAATCCACAAATAAATCGGCAAATAGCCAAGAATAATACAATCAGAACTATTTCAAGTGGATAAAAATAAAGACATTTTTATCTGTTTATGTCATGCTTTAGTACTATTTTCTATACATAAATTGGGTTTGCATTTATTCTTATATTAAATGTCCCTTCAGCTCATAAGAGGTAGCACTAACTCAGGCACTTGTGCTTGCCAGGGAAGCGCTTATTCCACTGAGCCATCTCCCTGGCCCAGGAGTTGTTGTTTTTAGACAGGTTCTCACTATGTAGTTCAGGCTGGGTTTGAACTCATGATCCTCCTGCCTCATCCTCCCCAGTGCTGGGATTACAGACATGTGCCATCATACCCAGCATCAAATAAAAATTTTTGACTGAAGAAAAATGTGAAGTGAAGCCTGGTGGTGTCTATGATTGCTACCTCTGTTCCAGTGCAAGCAGCAGACTATCTGAACTGAGCCAAGTATTCATGTCCAATTTTAAGCTTACCAGACAAATTAACTAGCCAGCATCCATTCTGAGAACGCTTATGCACCACCAAGAACACAGGAATGCAGCATCCTGAGGCACAGGTGCAAACCCACTGGCCTCTCTGCACCGCCCACTCCATCCCGGAATCTGCAGTCTCGTTCACTGCCTCATCATTGTGCACTGTGGTAATGAGCTTCAGTAACTCTGAAGTTACAACAGAGTGCAATAAAAATTGTGAAAATGCAATAAAGAATATCTGTGGCGCACAGTGAACTCAGAAATTCTTAGTCACTATCTACAATAAATAACACAGTATACATTTGTATTAAATAAGGAATACATTAGAATTAAAATATCACCTAGTTTGCATTTTTCTTAAAATGATTTAATTACATAATTTCTCACTTCCAACTCAATAACTTCTGTGAGTCATGTCTGAATATTTATCTTCTTCATTTGAAAATTATTTCCTGTACCTAAAATGCTATGATATGCCATTGTTACAATTCTATTGATGATTACATATAGGTTCCTTTTAGGACCAAAATTTCCAAATAATCCTTCATACTGAAATAAAACATTATTTTACTTCAATTGTAATTTTAGTTCAAGAGATGGCAGTGTTGTCTTAAAAACTTGGACAAGGTTTTCTTTTTCTCTTACTCCAGGAAGATCACTTAATAACAAATACTTGAGGTTTCTGCAAAGAAACAAACAGTCACTTCAATTTGCCCTTTACTTTAACAGATTTTAAAATTAATTAATCTGGGCAAGATGGTGCATGCCTGTAATCTCAGCTACTCAGGAGGCTAAAGCAGGAAGATTGCGAGTTCAAAGTCAACTGGGAACTCAGCCCTTGTTTCAAAATAAAAAAGGGAGGGCCAGCCAGATAGTTTGGTGGACTAAAGCACCTGTGTAGGCAGAGCACAGCAGCCAGGGTTCCATCCCCGGCCTGCATGCCGGCCCTGTTCTGGGGCATGCTGAGATGTTGATTGAGACTGGGCGTAGAGGCGTGTGCCTGTAATCCCAGCACTTGGGGGGCTGAAAACAGGAGAATCACTACAAGTCCAACAAATACATATAAAAAAACAATAAAAACATTAAAAAGGGCTAGGAATGCAGCTTAGTGCAAAGGCCCTTGGTTCAATCCCCGGTAAAAAAAACAAAAAACCAAAACTGGGGGCCTGGGAGATGGCTCAGTGGAATAAGCGCCTCCCTGGCAAGCGCAAGGGCCTGAGTTCAATCCCTGGTTCTGCAAGGAAAAAAAAAAAAACCAACAACACAAAACTGTATTTCCTGACTTTTAGGAAAAATTATATACAGAATGTATTGATATCATACTATACCCTAGAAAGGACTTGTATAACACCTGCCTTAGAGTACTACTTTAAATAAAATTCATGCTAGGAACTAAGCCAGACTTTAAAACTTCTAATTTTGCTTAATTACATCAATATTTCTAGCTGAATCTTTCTAAATTATATTTATGAATGTCTTCAAACATATATACATGTGTATATACATATGTATAAACACATACATATATATGTAAAACAACACAGATCTCCTTTGCATGTGAAATATACAATTTGAGTCTTCTCCCTTAAAGGGAAGAAATCAGGTAAGTTCTTAAGGAGGCTCAACTTTCTATTAGAAGATGGAATTTGAAGCTTCCTCACTGGTAAGAGATGAACAATCTAGTATTTTGGGGACCTGCAGCTTAAAACTCCTCAAACTTCCTGTGATACTGATGTTATCGGTAGATCACTACATTTTAAGCAGAACCACATTAACTGGGTTTAGAATTTGAATGACAGGATATCTAAAATAGGAATTTGATTAAACAAAGGCACTGTTTTCAGCATCCTGACAAGACTCCTAATCCTGTAATTTTAGAATTAACTGTTTCCTGCCTGTACTGTCTCTTGGCCAGGGTAGTTAATGAATGATGCAATCTCTTGGGGGCAAAAAGGGACATAGAACAGCTTTCCTACAGTGATGGGAGTGATGGGTGTGTGCTTGGTAAATTATAGTGGGAGGGGCCTGGAAAATAGCTCAGTAGAATAAGCACTTGCCTGGCAAGCGCAGGATCCTGAGTTCAATCCCCGGTACCGCAAAAAAAAAAAAAAAAAGAGTGGCAGGCAGGGTCCGAGGCTCCACACACAGGGGGTTATGGCTTTGAGGAACCCACAAGACAATTTACTTATGTTAAATGCTAAGGATATATATCAAATGCCATTAGGGTACTAAACCACGAGGGAAATGGCTTTAAAAGGTGGAAAGGAACAGAAGCAGCAAATGCTTATTGAGGGCTGATTGTGACAGGTACCATGCATGCCTGCTAAATTATATAGATTTAATTTTTTAAAAGACATCCCTTTGGGGGCTGGGGAGATAGCTCAGTAGAATAAGCCCTTGCCTGGCAAGTGCAAGCGCCTGAGTTCAATCCCCGGTTCCACCAAAAAAAAAGAAAGAAAGAAAATATCCCTTCAAAATATAGTAAAACTTGAATGTGTTAGGGCTGATCCTTTTGAAGTGTCATAAATGAGAGCATTGTCATTTTCCTGAAATGTGGTTTTTAGAACTGAAAAGACCACCCTGTCATGTGTTTTGAACCCTGATTACTCACCTATCATTACCAAACTTCCATTTGGGCTTTGAGCTCCTACCTTAAATGACGCAAAGCAATGATGCCTTTGTCTGTGACGTTCCCACAGGAAATTATTTCCATTTCCAATAGGCTTTTTTGTAATTTTTCAAGTTGCCCAAGTCTCTGCAAACAGTCGTCCTCAATATAATGGCACTTGCATAATCTTATTTTTTCAACGCGTTCAAGGCCTTCTGGAGGGGAAAAAGGAGTTTAAGAATCTTTGCCATGAGGACAACTGTCTCAGTTTGCCCAGGGCTGTCCTGGCTTTGGAGGTAGAATCCTGTTCCCCCTACTGACCATCCAAGGTATTCGCTGCACAGGTAGTGCTGGCAGAGGCCCCTGGACAGTCAGATGCCATGTGCTGGTGGAAAGAAAGGCCCACATGACCAGGGGCTATCTGGACAGAACTAGCCTTCCATGGCTGAGGGCTTTTCTATGACAGCAATTTAAAACAGGTAATTTGACAAAGCTTTGAACTTTAAGTCAATAAAAGAATGTAGAAACAAGCATAAGAAGGGAAGAAAGGTGTTTATGACACTCAATTACATTGAAAATACCAAACACAGAAAAAGCACACTTGATTATACTACAACAGGCAAAACGGACTTACCAACAAGTAAAATTGTGAGCTAGCTACAAGGCAATGGTCATGGCAAATCACCTGCATTCCTATGAGCAAGTGATAGTTACCCATGTGATCAAATCCAATGTTCATGATGCAGGAGTCTGTCGCATCGATGGCTTGAATCTTGTATTTGTCCAGGGGGCCTGTTGGGAGGTGGTTGTAGTCCTTCTGCCACCTCTCCTGGCCATGGTAACGGACCGCAGCTCCACAGCGCAGCAGCCACTCAGATGCCGCCCTATCAGGGCCGACAGTCCTGATGCGGTCATAGTCCACTCTGTTGGCAAGAGAACAGGAGCAGGTCACTTTGACTGCAGTACTGGCTTTGGAATTGTATTCACCACCATAATACAGAACAGCAACAAAGTTTCACCTCAAATGATTGATGAGGAAGATGAGTGTATCAGTGAGATCCAAGAAAATGCAGTCAACTGTAGCTCCACCTAACTGACCAACCAAGGTTTTCGCTGCACAGGTGGTGCTGGCCAAAGCAGGTCATCTCTGTCAAGTCATATATATATATTTTTTTTATTTTTTTTATTTTTAAACATTTTTGGCAGTGATGGGGATCAACACCAGGGTCTCTCCCATGCTAGGTAAATGTTCTAGCAAGGAGCTATACCCCCAGTCCTGAGACTTATGAAATGGTACTCAGGAGTGAACTCAAGGTCTTTTCACTGAGCTGCATCACCCCACCCTACTCCTGGCTTCTCTATTCTTTTTTTTTAAATCTTTAGGCAGGTTTTTGCTAAGTCATTAAGTTGCTCAGGCTGGGCTCAAACTTGTGATCCTCTTGTCTCAGCCCCTCCAAGTGCAGACTATAGGAATGTGCCACATGCCCAGCATCTGAGGTACATTATTTTATATGCATTTATCAAGGAGACAGGGTCTCTACTGGGTCATATGTAGCACAGTGCTAGACACTAGACATAATTGGTAACTAAATGGTGAATGAATGACTACTTAGCTAGTTTTTTGTTAATAATACAAGGTTAATGAAGGAATAATGTTGGACCCATTTCCACATTTATGTCCTTAAGTGATATTTATGAATTTCTATATATGCCTTTTTATCTGGTTAGCAATCATGGCATCATTTTAAGCAATGAAAAGATTAGTTACATCGGTTTTATTTTCTTAAATTTATTTATTTGGCACAGGGTCTCACTATGCAGCTCAGACTCATAGTGATCCTCCTGTCTCAGCCACCCCAGCACTGGAATTATAGGAGTGCCCCACCATGCCCAGTTTTGGTGATGGGCACAGTGCACCTGGTGCCAGCACGGCATGTGGTACTGGGGATCAAACCCAGGTCCTTATGCTTGCCAAGCAGAGCTCAGACCGCTGAGTTACCTCCCCAACCCATTTACATCAGTTTTAAAATGGCATTTCTGAGCATACCACCTATTCATTTTTTAAAAACTTGAGTTTTCTTGGCAGTAGCCAAAACACTGACAACATTCCTTAGGAAATAAAAGAATAACATACTTTGAAATTACTATGTTTTATGATCATAAAATAATATGTGTTCATTTTAAAAAACTGAAAATCCTTAAGACAACAACTAAGAAAAATGACCAAGATACTGAAGCCCAGAAAACCACAGTTTAAGTTTTGTATTATATTCTTCTGATCCTTCTTTCCTTGTTTGTTTTATCTATAAACAAAGTTAGGATCATTCTGTAAACATTGTTAAATATATATTTTTTGAAATGTAAGAAATAGCCAAACTTGTCTTAGGGAGCTCAGCTAGCTGTGACCACCCCACACTTTTTTATTTTAGTTAGAGTAACTTACTTATTAAACACTGCATTCAGCCAGCCCCAGAAGTATCTGGAATCACATGACCATGGGAGTTTCTTTAGGCCGCACAACTGCTGGGAAACTTTTCCAAACAGCATCGTTTGATCTATGCACACAAAACAGTACCCAATTAGATCACCAACTGGCAACCAGAGCCCAGTGCACGCAGCCACTTACTCCACTTCAGTGCTTTTGCGCCCATTCACTTGCCGCTCAACAGTTAGGGTGCGGCCCACTCCTGTCTCAAGTTCTTGGTTTTTCTGTTTCTCTTTTTCTTGCAAAAATGAGGGCTTGGACGCCAGTGTCTAAGGCTTCTTCGAGCACCACGTCCCATTGTTTGAACCCTAATTGGAGTCGTGCTGTTGCCACCTAGTGGCTATCCAGGCAGTGTAACTACAAATTTGCTCAATTTGGTTGCCTTCTCAATTTTCAGTATCAAAATGACACACTGGGGCTGGGGATACGGCTCAGTGGCATAAGCGCCTGCCTCGCAAGAGCAGGGTCCCAAGTTCGATCTCCAGGACCAACAACAACAAAAAATGACAAACTCCAATCACTTTGGAGCAATGTGCTGAGGTGCCTACATCCAGAAAGGAAGAGGAGTCACGGAAGATCTACCTCTGATAAAGGTTCACTGATGATAAAGGTACTCATTGGGTCACCGGAACAGAATAAGGAACTGCAAGGGCAGCTGGGAAGGTCTAGCCAAGGAGCTCCACATCTCTGATGCTGAGTTTTCTCCCTTATAAAAGATTTTGCTCAGATGATTTCCAGCTGTGAAAAATCTGTAAGGATGAGCAGAGAAAGTGATTTCTGGACTAGGTCTGAATATGATTTCTCTCAATTCAAATTTCTCTAATAGCATGCTAGACACAGGCAGCAAAACAAAGATAAACGAAACATGGGCTCTCCCTTTGGGAATTAATAATTTAGAGCAGGAAGGAGTGGCCCCAGACAAGTTATCAAGCAGCTAAATGACAGGATGAGAAAGCCTTGAAAGAGTTAAAATAAGGACAGAGAGGATTTCAACAAAGATGCCAGGAAAAGTTATGCTAGGTTATTAGCCAAGGCAGGAAAATTTGAGGCACATGGTAGATGAGTTTGGTCAGCAGACAGGAGTCATGAGAAGACGCAGGCTAGGGCCTTGCATGTGCTGCCAAGGAATTTGGACAATATTCTGAGGGCAGATGGGAGTCACTGAGGTTTTAGAACAGAGTACTGGCACTGTCGCAGCTATGCTTCAGGAAATGTACTCAGACAGCAGCACCAGGGGCAAGCCAAGCACAGGGGCAGGAAGATGGTGTGAGGGCGGGAATGTGAGGCTAGCCTGGGTGACACAGTAAGACCACTCTGTCTTAAAAAGTTGAGGGCCAACAGAAAGGGACAGAAACAACCAGCAAGGGAATGAATCACATGTAGCCACAGGAAAGGGCCTGGTCAGAGAAAGGTGAGAATAACATTAGAGTCCATGCAGCTCAGTGAGTGAGATGTCAGGAAAGGCTAGAGGAGTTCAAGACAAGTTTTGGTGCAAAACTTAGGATAGTACTGTTGCTGACAGAAATTAACAACAGGACAGGGTTGTTGGCTCAGGTTTTTGGTTTGGATCTCTTTCAGTTTTTACATTTCTGAATGCAAAGTGCTGGCATTGAAAGGACAAAGCATTATATTGGTGGGGTTTTCTACTAATTATTTTTATTTATTTTTTTTCTACTAATTATTTTTTTAACCATTATTTTCCCAACACAAAAGGGTTTTTTTCTCAGTATAATGAAAATTGAACATCTTATGTGTATTCAATAGTAAATAGACAAATTTTATTTTTTATTTCCACTTGAAGAGTTAAATTTCATATAAAAGTTTACAAACAACGGTTTTTATTTTGATTTTTTCAGTGTAAAAAATTGCCTTGATGGCATATTATGATGTAATGCTAAGTGCTTGTAGGATAGTTATATGTCAGTATTGAAACCTAATCTTTAGCTGCCAGCTTGTAGATATGAACGAATGTTCACCAAGCATGTATTTTGTATTTTGTTGCATTGTACACCGCAACTAATAAGCCAAGGAACTGACATATATTAGGTACATGTACTGTTTCTAAAAACCACAAACTAAGAATGATAAATTATCAATGTAGTTTAGTATTTGCTAATTTTACTACACTCTTTTGTTATGTATATGTAGGGAAGTCATAGGGATTATAAATTCAATTTGAGTAAAGTTTAAAACCATATATTTTATGATAAAGGGCCTTTAACTTAAGATGGCCAAAGCACTGATATATATTTGCTGTAAAGAGAATTATAAGAGTTTTATTTTTCTGATATTAAAAGTTACTTAATAAAGAAAAAAATAAAAAAATAAATGTAAAGTGCTGTTTTGTCCTAAATGGAGAGGACAAAAAAAAAAAAAAAAAAAAAAAAAATCATTAGACTCAAGAGTTATAAAGTGTTAGAAGTGGAAGGAACTCAGATCACCTCAGACTAAGCCTCTCATTTAGATATGAGGAAACAGTGTCCCTGATATTAAATAATTCGCTGACACCCAAAATCCTTTCTGGAACAAGGTGGGGCACAAATACACGCACATATTTAAGGGCCCTTGCTCAATGTCTCGTGGCTAATTGGTGTCAGTGCTGAAACTTGAACCCACTTCTGTCTCCTACAGTCAGGGGCCTCCTCCTCAGTCAGTAGGTGGTTCTAGAACTCATGAGAAGAACAACTAAGAAGATGCCTGCGAGGGGGCCACTCAAGAGCTGAGGAAGTAACTGGGCTCGCTGAGGGGGTGGAACGTGGTGTCACTTGCTATGCTTTAGCTTTTCTCTTTCCCCTTCCATTCTCCTTCTTCCCTCCCTCCCACACCCTCCTGTCCTCAGTGCTGGAGAGGCAGCCCAGTGCCTTAGATGTGCTGGACAGACACTCTACCCCCAAGCTATTTATCCCCCTCCAATCCCCTTTCCTTCAGCAGTTTTCGTTACTGCCAACTTCTGCCCTTGCTACTTCCTCTCACGGCCTTTTCAGCTCTCTGCTGAAGCTCTCTCCACCTATGCCCACTGCAATAACTCCACTGGGTGCCAACATCACTTGCAAGCCTCAGCTTTTCCCAGCTTCTATTTGGGTGGTGCCCCTTATTTACCTGACCCCCAGCCCTGACTGTGGAAATCTTATCCAATCTCTAAACTTATTCAAAATCCAAGTCTACCTACTCACATTCACTTAATAAATGTTTACTGATTATCTGCTATAACTAGTGCAAAAGCAACAATGAAGAACTAAGACAACCACAGAGGAGAAAGAGACAAAGGCCTGGTTCCTGTCCTTGAAAATGTAATATCCAAAGTAACACCTTGTTAGAGGTGTGAACACATGCCATGAGAGGCTAGGAAGGCTTCAGGCCAAAGGTATCTTTCAAGATGTCTTAAAGTAAGACTTAAAGAGTTCTAAATTAGGAAGGAAAAAAGTACTTGGAGCAAAAAGAAGAATAAAGATGGCATTTTACTCATTTCGTTTTCTCAGTATAATGCAAGAGTTTAATAAACATGGGTCAATACTGTACAATCGCTGGGGACTTTTATCCATGGAAAAAAGTCAAGCCTGAGAAAATGTATTAAGCAGGTGAAACAGCATTGTCTTGGAAACCGTGTACCTCCAGTTGTTGCATTTTGGCTTACCTCTCTCTTGAGTTTAAAGGAAACGTCACATTCAGCTCAGCCATGATCTCTAAAGCCACTAGATATTGTATTTAAAATAAAACATCAAATTTACGCTTAGCAATTACGGTTAAAAATAGCGGGTTTTCACATTCTGAACTGCAACTTTGCTGAGACTTGGGTAATGGCTCCAGGAATGCTTTCCACAGGGAAAGAAGAGACCTCTAGTGGCGACCTAAGAATTTGGCTCTAAGAAAGAAGAGCAATTAAATTTGAAAATAACCATTACTAAATTACTGGTGCCATAAATAACCCAGGAATTTAAATTATGGAAGGGGGAAAAAAAAAAAAAAAACACCTCACCAAACTTCTTACTACTAGAACTTGATTTAGAGCTGTAAGTTTGTAATAGTATTCTTAAAAGCTGTCGTTACGTTTGTGACGTGGGTAAGACCAGGCCTCGAATGCAGTACTCAAAACAGAGTATCTTCAAAGTGTCATCTGAGTGGATTTGATTGAATTTTTAAGCATGAGAGTTATATACATTAGATGTATTTATAAAGTGGGATATTCAAAGTGATGCCTAAGTTGGCTAACACTGAACTAGTTCCGGAACTAGTGTGGAGATAGAGGTGGAGGTATTGGAATGAGGGAGACTTTTCCCTAATTGCAACCCTACCCCACCATAAAATCGCCACCAAGTGGGGCAGATTAGCAGAGCAATTCATTAGGGATTGGATGCAAAGTTCCTAAAAAGCCATTCTTAGGCCTTCAAATGGCACCCACTGAACTAACTTCTCCCAAATCTTGGCTTACAATGGAGGAGGGTGAACCGGAGTTCTCAACAAGGAGAATCACATCAGGAATAGACACCTCTTCCCACGGGGCATATGAATGCAAGATGAGCTCCTGGTTTAAATTACTTGATTCAAATAAACCATTCTACAGGCTGGGGAGGGAGGTGGGCAATGGGAGAACATTTTTCAAAAAGAACCTGTGCAATGAGTTTGTTCTTTTACCCTCGCTAAACTAAGAAATATATGCTCACGAATCACACAGCAAGGGGCTGGGGAGATGGCTCAGTAGAATAAGCGCTTCCCTGGCAAGCGCAAGGGCCTGAGTTCTATCCCCTGTTCTGCAAAAAAAGAAAAAAGAAAAAAAAAAGTCACACAGCAATTTTAAAAAATATGGGTCCATCAGACCCATGATAAGCTGATCACAGGCTCTGAGAGTAATTTTATATTCAACCTACCATCAAAGTAACTCTACCTTGTGCTCACTGAAAAGAAAAACCTTTATGACACCCTTATCAAAAAATGCTTAAACTAAATAAACCATTAGTGACAAAATCTAATGCTGGTGACAATGAGGAGAAACTGGATCAAGCATTGCTGGTAGGTATGTAAAATAATTCAGTTACTCTGGAAAAGTTTAGCAGTTTCTTTCAAAACTAAACATGAGCTTATCACATGAGCCAGTAATTGGACTCTTGAGCACTGAGAGGAAGAAAAATATGGCCACACAAAAAGAAATACACTAATGTTCAAAACAGCTTTATTTATGACACCTAAAAGCTGACACAACTTGAATGGCTTTTAATGAATGGATGATTAAACATACTGTAGTATATTTATGATTATGGAATGCTACCCAGAAATAAAAAGGAATGAACTGGGGCTGGTGGGATGGCTCAGTGGTCTAAAGCACCTACTTAGAGCAAGCTAAGCTAAGCAAAGCACAGGGACTGTGGTTCAATCCCCCAGCACCACATGCCAGCCAGCCCCGCCCCCTGGTGGGCTGAGTTGGCCACACACACACACACACACATAAATAAAAATTTTTAAAAAAAGGAATGAACTATTGATACATACAACAATTTGGATGAACCTAAAGTGCAAAAGACTAACAAGAACTACATATTGTATAATTATATAACCTTAAAATGACAAAGAAAGGAAGAAAAGATTGGTGGGAGGGCTACAGTGTAAGTTGTGCTTATGAAAGGGTATCTAGAGGGCTTCTTGGGATGGACCTGTACATCTTGATGGTGATGGTAAAGATGACAACTTATAGAACATGATGATAACTTACAGAACTAAATGTAAACACAACATAAAACTCAGAAATCTGAGTGCGTCTGTCAACGTCAATTGTCTGGTTGTGATACTGCACTCTAGTTTTACAAGATATTATCATTAGAGGAGATGGCCAAAAGGTAAACAGAAACTCTTATTTCTCACAACTGTACAGGAATCTACATTATGTCAACATAAAACGCTGAATTTTAAAAATAACCTTTTTTTTTCCTGCGGAACCAGGGATTGAACTCAGGCTGTTGCGCTTGCCAGGGAAGCGCTTATTTCACTGAGCCATCCCCCTGGCCCAAAATCTTCTCTTTTTTTTTTTGGTGGAACCGGGGATTGAACTCAGGCCCTTGCACTTGCCAGGGAACCCCTTATTCCACTGAGCCATCTCCCCAGCCCGCAATAACCATTTTTAGCGAAGCATGGTGTCATACTTGTGATCCCAGCATTACAGGATGACTGCAGGTCTGAGTCCAGCCTGGGCAATTTAGAGATGTGTTTAATAAAAAAAACAGAACACTGGGATGTAGCTCAGTGAAAAGGTCCTGGGTTCAATCCCTGATATGCGTGTGTGTGTGTGTGTGTGTGTGTGTGACAAAAACAAAAACGATATTTTCATTGTGATGGAACAGACTTTTTCTCCCCCCCCCCATAAAGCAAAAATATATATTACTATCATTTCGGTGAAGACATAAAAAAAAATTGTCATTTACCTAACACTTCACTGTGATCAACTTCCGAAGGGCCCAATCTGGTGTAATGGGGCTAGTTCACAGGGCAGGGGCTAAATTAGAGGTGACAAACGACTGGAGTCAAGATTCAAATAGACAAGTTCTTCCAGCAATGAAGTTTTATCGATCTAATTTAATTGTCCAGCTGATTTGTCCCTAAGTATCAAAAACTGCCACCAAGCAAATAGCCGGGGTATTACGCTGGCACGGTGACAAGTGCTGTCACCTTGCGGAGCTAAGAGGTGCTTTGGAGATCACCCCGCCCACCACCTTCACCTGACAGGTAAGCAACTGTATCTCCGCCCAGAATTTAAGAAAAGGTCCCAGATTACTAGGTGATGGCCGAGGTTACGCCATCTAGTTCATCCGGAACCCAGTGCCGGTGCAAAAGAGCAGGCGCTCGGTATTTACAAGATGAATCGGTAACCGACCGAAGGGCACCGCCCGGAGCCCCAGCGGGAGAGCCCGCCGCTAAGGCCCGGCAAGGCGGCGCGGGAAGGGGCCCAACGGACGAGGAGGCCGCCGGCCCGCCGGAAAGAGCGTTTCCACTGCAACCAGCCCAGACTGTCTCCGCGACCCCAGCCAGCTCGGCGGGGGAGTTCAAGCCGCGCCACATAGGCACTCAGCACGACTGCAGCGCATCACCACCTCCCTAACCCCGCCCGGCGCGGGGCCAAACCTGCCCTACTCACAGCGCCGCCGGGAACGAGCGAGCGTCCGTGCGTCTCGCGTCGACGACTACGACGCGCCGGCCTGCCCTTCGCCCTCCGTCGCGCGCGCCCATTGGCCAGCGGCACCACGCCCACGTGGGACGAAAGCGGGCGCCTCATTGGTTCCCCGAAGGGGGCGGGGCCATGGAGCGGCGGGACCCGCGTAGAGTTCAAGTAGCTGTCCCTGGGGGCAGGGAACGGGAAGGGGACGCAGGCGATGGTCCCGGCGCTGCGTGTCTTGTGTGGTGCCTGCGGTCGGGCCCGCGGCGCGTCCCTCGGGGTCTTCCCCAGGGCGGGAGGGCCTGCGGCCCGGAGGCCTTGGCCGCTGTGCGGGGCTTTCCGCAGCGGCAGCACCAGGTGAGTGGCCGCTGACGCGACCCCGCCGCCTGCGCCGCTGCGTCTCCCGAGGTGCCTCGCGCTGACCGGGCCCCGCTCGTCCTGTCCCGTGCTGGGCGTGAGGGACGGCCGGGGTCCCGCAGCTGCGGCCCTGCGCGGTTCACTCGGGCGTGTAAGGGCCTGAGGAAAAAGCAGTATTGTGTAAAGGTCCGGGCGGGTTTGGCTTCGACTTCACCGTTCCGCGCACTGTTCAGCCGTGGGCGGTGCTCAGCCGCCTTAAAGGTTCAGCGGTGAATTGCAAATTCTGTCTATCGTAAGCTGCCCCTTTTAAGGGAAAAGGCCGGCGCGCTCGGGCAGATACGCTGTGTGTTAGCCTGCGTCCCTGCTGTTCCTTGGAAGATCCTGAGCTGAGTTTATGCGGATTAGTTCCTGGCACCCCGTATAGAACTGCCCCTGTGAGAAGCCGCTACCAAAGCCTGCAAAATTCATTGTCCTAGGCCCGGCGTGGAAGTACACGCCTGTAATCCCAGCACGCAGGAGGCTGAGGCAGGAGTATCACCACGAATTTGAGGCCAGCCTGGACTGCATAGTGATATCCTGTCTTTAAAAAAAAGAAAAAAAAAATCATAGTCTCGTAATTTGAAGTTTGGAGGTCATATGTGAAACCACTTTTTTTTTTTTTTTCTTCTCCATGCAGGGGACAGTTAAGTGAAGGCTCTAGTCTAGAAAGCTTTTATTTTGAGGACTGGACTGTGGGTAATGAGTATAACTGGAACTTAGTGGGGACTGAAGGTGTTGAATGTAGGATTCGAATTATAACCACGCATTGATTTTATTCTAAGAGCCTTGATAAACTATGTAAAAGGTTTTGAGAGAGAGGGGAGTGGGATTAAATGTTAATGTTTGAAAAGTTGACTATGATACTGTGTGTTAGTGAATTGGAGAGGGATCGGAATGAGATGCTAGTAATAAAGTATTAAGATTTCTTGTGTGGTATGTAGATAATTCTTTTGGGAATATTAAGGGAAAAAAGTAGGACTAAGGGTTTGGCGAGATGTGCAGGGGATTGAACTCAGGACCCTGCACTTGCCAGTCTCACAGTATTTTGCTGGTGCAGCCTACTAAGAGGCCAGAAGGCAGAACTTACGCTGACTATGAATCTGTTAATGAATGCATGGAAGGTGTTTGTAAAATGTATGAAGAACATCTGAAGAGAATGAACCCCAACAGTCCCTCTATCACATATGATATCAGTCAGTTGTTTGATTTTATTGACGATCTGGCAGACCTCAGTTGCCTTTACCGAGCTGATACCCAGACATACCAGCCTTATAACAAAGATTGGATCAAAGAGAAGATCTACGTGCTCCTTCGTCGGTAGGCGCAACAGGCTGGCAAACAATTGAGTCAGAAACAGCAGGGGCTGGGGGCGGGCTTGGAGCGCAGCTGTGTGCAGTGCGCTGCTGCCGTGGAGTGCTGTCCTGTGAGCCTCTTCCCATTTGTTTCACTCTAGCCAGGATTGAATGCGTTAGGTGAAATGTAAGGTGTGAGGATCTTCTTAATCCTAAACCTCCATTGAGCTGCTGCTGCTGCTGCTGCT